GACAACCAAATCAACGGAACACGTTTACTCCGTTATCTATACTCCTTGTGTGAGCGCATACACAAATCTGTGAAAGAAGATTTAAAAGCTGTAAAGTTTGGCTTATTACGTTTGATTGCCATGTTTTTGCTTGCTGCAAATATAATTTTAAATTATATGTTAATGGCTATGATCACACTGGTAATATGAGCACGAAAGCAACCAAAGAGGTATACGGAAATAACGATGAAAAAAGTTACAAAATTATTTTATATCTACAATTGTTACAAAAAATTAGAAGACAGACGAAATTGCAGAATGTGAGTAATAGCGAATTCGGTAGCTTGCACTAGTGCGCACTGAGTGCGCATTAAGGCTTGTTTACAGTACATTCTTATATTTAAGATCGTGTCTTAAATACATATTTAAAAACATTTTAACTAATAAAATAATTCGTACGGATGTTATACATATCATATTATGGTTAAAAATATTTGAGAATTTATTTGAGAATTATTTAAGACAATCTTTAAATATAATAACATACTATGAACAAGCCTTAGTGCGCACTCAGTGCACACTAGTGCAAGCAACCGAATTCGCTATAAGACCCATATTTTCTGAACAACGAAGATTGGCTTGTAACAATCTTCGTTGTTCAGAAAATATGGATCTTACTCACATTCTGCAATTTCGTCTGTCTTCTAATTTTTTGTAACAATTGTAGATATAAAATAATTTTGTAACTTTTTTCATCGTTATTTCCGTATACCTCTTTGGTTGCTTTCGTGCTCATATTACCAGTGTGATCATAGCCATTAACATATAATTTAAAATTATATTTGCAGCAAGCAAAAACATGGCAATCAAACGTAATAAGCCAAACTTTACAGCTTTTAAATCTTCTTTCACAGATTTGTGTATGCGCTCACACAAGGAGTATAGATAACGGAGTAAACGTATTCCGTTGATTTGGTTGTCCTAAATATTATTACATATATTTGTGTGGAAATGCGGAACGGTATAGCGATAAATAAATATTTATATACATTTTAAAAAATTATATTTACTTCATTCATCGCAATTTTTATTAATACGCTTCTTTTTTCAACTTATCCGTTTAATAAGAATATTTTAATCAATAAATATCGTTTACAATTAATGTTTTATAATTCCTCGTTCTGCTTTTCCGTATAAAATATGCTCCATGTAATATTGAGGAGAAATAAAGCTACGGAACAAAAGCGCGGGAATGCGTAAATCTAGTTAAGTCCTAGTAATTTTGTCTTCCGTATTTCCAAATTTCCGTGATAATTGAAAAATTTAAATAGCCAATGATAATTTAATCGTTGAAATGCTATTGTCTGACAACGAAAAATATTTTAACTATCTGCGGATGTCACCAACAATGTTCGATGAATTACTGACAATTGTTGGATCTCACATCGAAAAACAGAGTAGTTCGTAATCCAATAAGTCCTCGAATAAGATTGCTTTATAAGGTGACTTTACGATGGTTGGCTTCGGGTGACAGTATGGTATTACTATCTTATGTTTTTTGCTTGTTCCGTATTTCCGCATAAAGCAGAAAAGCAGAACGAAACCACACGGATCTCATTTAGTTATTAGTTTCGTTGTTTCTTATAATTAAAATACAAGCTTCCAGAATTAGGAAGACATCGCAAAACTATGTGTTTCCCGTCAATAGCTCCAAAGCAGTTAGGCATATTCCATTGGTTCTAGTATCCATTAGCAATATTCTTCCACTGTTCTTCAGTTGGACATGCTAAATATAAAGGCTGTAATGTATTAACAATAACAAGATATACTTCTTTCATTAACTGTCTAACAGTTGATTGTCCAACTCGGAAA